CGGCATGGGTGTTCCCAGGTGCACACACATGCTCACACAGAAATCATAGAAAGACATCTGCTGCCCTGCTCTATTAATCTCTCCTCTATTCCCTCAAAACAAGGTGTCTCACTGGATCTGTAGCTGGTTGGCAGCCAGCGCTTCTCAAGGATGCTCCCGTCTCCAGCCCTACAGTGCTGGGGTTACAGCCAGGTGCTGCCACATCCAGCTTTTTACGTGGGTTCTGGGAATTTGAACTCAGGGGTTCAAGGTTACACAGCAAACACTTTTACCCACTGAGCTGTCTACCCAGGCCTCATGGTAACTATTAAAATCCATGATTAAAACATTAGATGCCAACCAAAAACTGTGATGTCAAAGAAGTGGTGACATAATTTAAAAACATTCTTAAGAATCATTGCAGTAAATCATAATGAGGCCCACTGATACCCGTGGCCATGCTGATCTGTTGGCTAAGGACATAGTCAGACACCAAATTATCTTAGAACTGCTTCCTTGATTGCCAAGGATGTCCTCAGCATAGCAGCAGTGCTTTCTGCATTGCCACACTGATAATGCTAGCTCTCCTACAGCACAAACTAAAACAGTGGGGTGAGCTGCAGGAGTGTGGCAAGGAAACAGCAGAGCGTAGAGCTCAAGCCTTAAGCAAGATCTTGAGAGCAAGGGACTGCTGCCCTCAGGTATACACCTCTGAGAGAATTTCTGGGTTGGTGTTTACTACAGACAGAGCACCGAGGATGTGCGGTGAGGCCAAGGCCTCTCAGGCTTCAGTGCGGAACCAGTGTTCCAGGTCTCAGCATCATCCCTGTAGCAGAGAAGTCCCGGGAGATGGGGAGGCTGGAAGGAGATACAGCTTTGCATCAAAGAGCTGAGCGGCTGCGAGCCTGGGAAGATTGTCTTTGAGCTGGGCTAGGTGAGGGCTGTTAAGCATTTGGTTTTCTACAAGATGCCTGAAGACTCGTAAAAAGCACGTGAGTGTGGCTTCATTTTCAATAAATGAGACTAGGCCACACTGAGAAATGTATAAATTCCGTGTTCTTTTTGATAAGATGTTCCGGCTTTTCCTATCAGTGTGTGAGCGAGCATGTTCTTGAAGGACGCTGAGTGCTGCTGTAATAAAAAGCTACATTAAGCAGTACTTTTGGCAACCCACACATGGATAAAGAAACTGAGATGTGGTAGGTAAAGAATGGATGGACTTTGGACTTAGGTTGATCTGCATTTGAAATCTAGCACTTCCTTACCTGGCCTCAGGTGGCCTGGGACCGGTGGCTAGATTGTCTAAGCAGCTCTTTGTTTGTGTAAGAAGATAAGAGCATCTACCTTCCGGGATTTTGGAGTGTTGTGATGAACTACTATGTCAGTAATAGAGCTCCGACTGAGCTCTGGGTAAATGCCAGAATAATGGACTAATGCTCCAGCCATGGCCACTGCTGGAGGCTTCACCTGGCTGCAGACTGAGCTCATGTAGATGTTCTGACACCTGGGCTCTAGGTGAAATGCCGAAAAGATGACAGATAAGAGCATCTTTTTTCCTTGGTTAGCCCTGGCTTTTGCCTTGATACATTTCAGCAGTGACTTCTGTGCCCCCCCCCTTCTTTAAGGACCAGTGTTTCTTAATCTCATTGCATTTGGAAATATATTACTCTTACATTAAAATATAAAAGCAGATAAATTTAAAATATTGCATCAACAAGATTCAGTGCCTACCCCGAATCTTCATGTTTATCCTCTCCAGTGTCTATGGACATAAAGAGGTCAACTCAATAACAACAACAACAACAACAACAACAATATTAATAGTAAATAATAGAATCATGGAGACTGTGAGCCCACCTAGATCTCTTCCAGACAAGTACTTTGGCAATGGAGTTTACATTATGACAAGATTTGCTCTGGTATTCTTGTGCCAGCCTCCCTACACAGCAAAGCAAGGGACATAAACGTAGCACTGTACATCTGAAGGGCGGTGGGAATCTTGAGGTATACTCAAAACATCGAACCCAAACAAATACAGGGTTCCACATTTTCTAGGTGATGTAAAATCCATATGTTTTAAATAAAAGGAATCTGTGGTCAAGGGAGCAGAAATTCACATAGTTTTGAAATCCTCTATTTAAGGAGGGGGTGTTCAATGTTTTATTGCAAAGGGTCAATAAATGGAGCTCGAGTTTATAATATTATCCACAGTTACCAATCAGGTGACAAGAAACAAGGCAATACTTGTGGCTTAAAGGTTAATCTAAAAGAAAACGTTTTTTCAGGAGAGTTTTTAGGGTAAAAGTAGACCCTGGCCGCCCCAACAAGTGGCGCTGCCCACTGATTCCGTGACTCACAGGTTAAAGAGATAATTAGTAGTGAAAAATACAGGAAAGAGGTTTACTCATCATGGCCGCCTTGGGGAAAGGGACACATAAAGGGGTCTGGTGTTCCCAAGTTTGTCTTTGAGGTACTGGTAATGAGCTTTTCATTTAAATGGCAGCAAGATTTCAAAGAGTCAAGGTCTATATAACTGAGAAGCAGTCCTGCCTACCCATAGGCCACAGCCACTTCTGTAATATAACTGGTTTGTTAAATGTCCAAACTGCATGGAATCTCTTCCTGGGAGGCAAGACTTCAGGACTCCAGTCTTTCCCTTCCCCTATATTAGGCCTTCTAGGAACCTTTAAATAGTTGGTGTACGTTAGTGTAGCAGCACAAGTTTCTCTAATAGATGTCTTCTCACAGGACAGCTACATTTTACTTTCTGTTATTGTTGCTGCCAGGGTTCGCTAGCCGAGGTGGACGATGTCTGGAGTAGGCCTGCCGGACTGGTTTGAATCCTACGTCTACCCTACAGCAACCACGACCTCCACAGATTACTTCACTCAGTCGCATGCTTACATGCTCTCCACCTCACGGATCCAACCGAAGGACCAAAAAAGAAATAAAACAGCTTATGATATGACCCAGTATCTGAGATGAAAGCAATCAGAACTCCTCAGTCTGGAAGGTGGTTACAGGCGAAGGCCTGGGCTTGGAGAGCAAAACCCTAGCCGCTTAACTTGAATGGATCTTAGGAAGTTACTTGATATCTTTATGTGACATAATTCTTAATCTTTACAGCAGGATTACAAGCGATGTCTGTGTCATGAGTTTTCCTGTGACTTTATTTTAAAATACAAGTGAGGAGATATGAAAACGAGGTCCATGAAAAAGAGCTTGGCACAGTTTGGTAGCTGTTCTTCCCAGCCCTGCTGTATTTAGTGGACACAGTGTGAGGCGATAAAGCAGAAATAAAAGATACTTAGTGTATCTGTGATCCCTTCATCTGGTGCCCCTTTAAGTGACAGAAAGAAACAGGGAAAGATAGAGCCCATTATGAGACCAGCCTGGGATTGATAGCTTGACATTCATTTTACACTATTGGCCTACATAGCTGTCTGAACATGCCCAGGGCATGTGGCTTTCCTATGAACTGCCTGAACAACACTGGACTCAAGGGGAAAGTTTAGTAGATGTAGACTTGGGGATTGATATTTTTAGGAAAGACAAATTTTGGTGGAAATTTCACAGTACCTCCTTAAAAGCCGAACGCACTATCGCAGAAACACCCTTCTACCGTCTCAGCTGCTTGCTGGAAGCTAAGATCTCAGGCCCGTGGTCTACTACTCTGCTCCTTTCACCCTATGCATTGAGTTTCTCCTCCTCTCTTCCCATAATCCTAACCATGATTTCTAATAAAGATACCAGGAAACTTTTAATGGACAACCAATCCAGGCAAAAGCTCAACAGCAATGGGGTCAGGGCAGGCTGTGGGCAGAAGGTACGAACCTGCACTGTCTGCCCTCAGGAGGACAGCGCACAGAAGATGGCAGTGTCCCAGAGACCCACGCAGGTGCGCAGATATGAGAAGCCCGGAACAAGGCAGGGACGTACAAATGCTCCAGGAGGCTGGACGTAGTGCCTGAGGCTGGGCAGGGCGGATAGGTACACTCCTGTCCTGTGTTAGGTGGTTTCAATAGACTATCTCATCATCACTGGAACCTCAGATCTCACGTCCTGAAGAGCTGGTTCCAGTGAAGAGATCACTGTTCCCTAGTGCTGGGATTGCCAGATTTTTGTTCCATTAAGAATCATGGTTGGTTGGAAGAACAAAGTTAAATACATTTCCGGATAGCTAACCATTTAGCAGCCAGCTTGGCATTGTTAAAAAAAAAAATTAGAGGAAGTACTACTCAAGTTCTCAAGAGGACCCCAAGTGCAGCTAGCACTGGATGTTCCCATTTCAAAGTTACCAGCACTCTAATACTGATCATCATATTTCCTCCAGGAACTTCCACAATTGCACGGAATTATTCCGGGGACAGTTATTCGTCACCATGCCATTAGCCAAGGTTATCTCCCAGTTGCTGTCTCGCTTCACGGTGAGCTAAGCCTCCTGCGGGTCTGTCATGTCTGGAAGCAATTCTTCCACAACTCTGAACTGCGTCAACTCTGTTACGCGTATTTCGAAGACACCTCCGGCAAGAAAATGGCTGGCTACTTGTTCTTGCCTTAGGTATGGTGGAGTCAGGACTGCCAGAAGGTTTATTCCATTTTCTGCCTCTCCTAGAGCCTCCGGTTTCCTAAGGGATTTCCTTTCCTGCTCCTCAGCCTCGGGTTAACTGTAGCCGAGGTAGATGTCATGAGACTCCGGTACACTCAGTTCCCCACTAGGGCTGCCAGGATCCCTGCTCTGATGACGACTCACAGATTTATATGGCCAGAATAATTCCGGGTGGGAGTGGGGGAAGGAGAGTCAGGCAGCCGCGAAGGTGTTTACCAAAACACATCCCCAGCCACACTTCTTTAAAAAAATCCAGCAGAGAGAGAAACTGGCATCTTGCGTGAGTGTTTAATTAAAGCGCCCTTGGAAGTGCATTCTCGCCCTCCGACTTGGCGGGTAGCAACAGCATCCAAGAGCTTTGCAGACAGCTCGGAAATGTAATCAAACAGCATCCTTCCCCTCACTCAGCAGCTCTCCCTTCCCAGGAGCCATCAGCTGGTAGCCCACAGGGGTGCGGACAGCAAAGCTGCAGATCTTTTGCTCCCCAAGAGAAGACCAAGGCGGGGCGCCTTGGTATGCCTCTCCCAGTGCACAAGGTGGGCCACAAGGTGAGGACACCCTTGACCCTTTCTCCTCAGCCTGCGCTTCTCCACTCCTGGGCAGCTGCCACAGGGGCTGCCGCTGGAGGGCTCCAGCCTGAGGCACCAGAGTACGCAGGAGCTGGGGAAGGCACCCAGGCTGTGCCCAGTGGTAGCTGCAGCGGTCACTGCTATCGTGCTGCTCCCGGTGTCCTGCTGATGTCACCCGGGCGGAGGGCTGCGGAGGGGCTCCGAGGTGTCTGCGCGGAAATGCGACCTCCCACCCACCGGTTACCTGGACGCTGTCCGTGGAGGTTCACAGGGGCGGTGGAGGAGGCACGGGAGGACGGAGAGCGGCGGGCCTGCGCCTGCAGGATGTGCTGTCTCACGCTGCACTGTTAGGCTCGCGCTCCTCCCGGAGCGATCACTCCCTCTCTCCTGAGCCTGACACTGACAGCTCCCAGCACCCGGGCTGCGGGACTCGCCCCGCCCACGGCCCACGCCCTCCACGCCCGCGCCTCCCGCGGGAGGGCCTCCGCACAGCGCAGCACCGCCTCGGCCAGCCTGGCAGCGTTGAGGGAACCCGGGGACAGCCAGTCCTTGGCCGCGGGCGGCGCACACCTAAGTTACTGCAAAAGAGAGCTTGCCAAGCTCCTGATGATTTCCTCTGTGGACAACTTTCATTCCCAGACAGAGAAACTTTAAGTCTTAGAAACAGAAACAGACTAGTTTAGTTCCATCCGTGCTGTACAGGTGCATCTGAACCTAGATTTTTCACAGAGATACACAAACACACACATGCACAGATACACACACACACACACAAACATAAACATTATATCTCTATGAATATATTAATATATACACATGTGTAAATAATATATACATGTATAGACACATACATGTATACTTATAGGAATAGATATACATACACGCATGTACACATGTTATAGATCGGAATAGCTATATACTCATATGTGAGCACATAATATGCCATATGTGAATATGTTTATATGTATATTATAAAGATATATAGGTATAGTGTGTGTGTAAAACTTGTTTTCTATTGCTTCTCAGACAGCCTGCCTCTTAAAAATCTGAGTAACATTCTTGAATTTCCCCAGAGTTGATCATTCTAGCAGTTATAAGACTGAGAAATGGACTTTAGGATGTTAGGCAGTGTGGAACTGGTACCACTTTCTGGATGGTCTTCTCATCGTTTTGTTTGAACACCCGGGCCATCTGTGTGAAGATGAGAGTGTAAACGTGTGGAGAGCTGGAGCAGGTACTGCTCTCCAACTGTGGCTGCAAGTTCATCCATCCTGTTCACATCTTCTCCAGTTCACCCATCCTGTTGCCACTGAAGCCATTCTTAGACGGCGTCAGAGCCAGCTTTCCCCAGTCTTTCCGAGTGAACTGGAGACCAGTGTCTCTGCAGGAATTCCCCAGGCCTCTGCACCGGGTGGGAGCTGCAGAGACATCCAGCCTCTTAACTGAGCAGCTGCTGGGTTCTTGGTGTTTCGTACATGATGACAGCCATTGGCTTGACCACCTACACTGTACCTTGTAGGCCAATTTAATAAATCCTCTTTTAGTATATATCCAGTCTCCCAATCCGGTCTCTCTACAGAGCCCTGAGCAATATAACCCTGCAAAAGGAATTTAAGTCTCTGAGAAGTCACAAAGTGCCGCAGCTCCTGAGTAACCTCCTAAGATATGAGTTCCATTTGCCCCAGCGTTCAGTTTACCTGGGAGCCCTTATGTCTGTCTTTAGAGCACAACTTGTGCAGTGCCCACTGCCTTCAAAGCGCTGCCTTAGGCACATCACATGATTCAAAACTTAGGAGAATTCAGTTTTTATTCTTAAAGGTATGACAGTAGGGTAGAGCAAGGGAGCATAATCAAAACAATTGTAAATGTAAGCAATGTTTGAATGGGTAAATGTTATTTTAACAGCAGACATGAAAAGGGGGGCATTTCTAGACATAAAAGTCCAGAGGAGAGAAACCCCCAAATGAACACAGCAAATCGTAAGGAGGCCAGTAATTTTGAGAGCGGCAGGATTCATGAAGAGTATGACTGGATTCATAACAGAGGCTGAAAAGATGTACTGGGAGCCACTGAAAGCATTTGAGCAGAGAAAACAAACAAAAACACGTGAGAGCTACCTGGCAGTGACGGTGGTGTGGAGATTGGATTTACAAGAAAGGGCTGAAGAGATCAATCAACTTCTACATAGGATTCCAGGATTTACTTAGTTCTAGCATTACAAATATCCTGTAATATATGCTAAGCAAATATTAAGCTATCGATTGTAAAATTAGTTTTATGGGTTACTTCATTTTATTTCCTCAAAACGAATTCAATGTAGAATCCTGACGAGTTATTTGAACATTCATGTTTGTTGAAGCATTCTGCCTAATAGTCAAAAAATAGATGCAGCCCAAATATGTCCACCCATAGGTAGAAGGATAAAGAAAAGTTTATATGATATATATAGTAGAAATTAATATATGCTAGAAATTAATACAAGATACAGTGACTTCCCACATATATATATATATATGATTATTATATAGCCTCAAAAATAGACATAGAGCCTGTTGAATGCTCTAAGATAAAAACATATGGAACATATTATATTAAGTGACATAAGCCAGTCACAGAAGAAAAAAAAATTTCATTCATATGAAAAATGTAAAAGAGCCAAAATCACACAGTTATTTTCCAATGGGAAAACTTACAGGAATGATTAGAGGGAGTTTTTGTTTGCTCATTTGCTCTGTTTAGCAAGATAAAAAAGCTCTACTGGTTAGTGGTTTAACAATGAGAATGCACTTCGCACTAGTGAACTAAACCCTTAAAATAGTTGAAACATTGTACTTAGTTTATGTGGTTTTGCAATAAAAACACAGTTATACCTTATTTTCATTATCCAGTTCCTAGACATGGAACAGACACCGTGAGACTAGAAATGGACATCACTGAATGAACCATGTTTCCAGAGACTGGTAAGACTGACTCTAGTATCAAACCAAATAGGGAAAGGATATTTTTTAATCAAAGACATTTCCCATGAAGATATTGAGAAAAGGAAACTAAACATCAACTGAGAATCGCAGTTGGGGACTCCTTGAACAGCCTCTGGGTGGAGTAATGTGGGTAGAGAGAGATTTCCACAGATGGTGCTGACGCTCTGTAGTCATGGGTTAGACAAATCATGCAGAGAGGGTGGATGATGTTTTTATTTATTCTCTGAGAATTTCATACAAAATATTTTGACCATATTCTTCCATTTCTCCCAACTATCTTGCAGATAGTTCCCTACCTCACTGACCTCCCAACTTCATGTTCTTTCTTTCTCTTAAAAAACCAAATGAACCTTTTCTTCAAGATGGTGCCGAAAGCGAAGAAAGAAGCCCCTGCCCCTCCCAAAGCCGAAGCTAAAGCGAAGGCCTTGAAAGCCAAGAAGGCAGTGCTGAAAGGCGTCCACAGCCACAAAAAGAAGATCCGCACATCGCCCACCTTTCGGCGGCCCAAGACCCTGCGGCTGCGAAGGCAACCTAAATACCCCCGGAAGAGCGCGCCCAGGAGGAACAAGCTTGACCACTATGCCATCATCAAATTCCCCCTGACCACCGAGTCAGCCATGAAGAAGATAGAAGACAACAACACACTTGTGTTCATTGTGGACGTCAAGGCCAACAAGCACCAGATCAATCAGGCTGTGAAGAAACTCTATGACATCAATGTGGCCAAAGTCAACACCCTCATAAGGCCCGACGGAGAGAAGAAGGCTTATGTTTGGTTGGCTCCTGAATATGATGCTCTGCATGTTGCCAACAAAATTGGAATCATCTAAACTGAGCCCAGCCAGCTAATTCTAAATATACATTTTTTCACCATTAAAAAAAATTAAACAAGCTAAACACAAAAATGCATGAAGGCTAATTTGTGGTATCCAACTACTCGTGAGCATGAGGCCTGCCCTAGAGTGTAGGTGATATATCCAGTGCTACTCTGCAGAGAGAAACTAGTCTGTCTTTCTGCCCTACAAGTTACTCACTGAGAATAATTCCTTGGCGAGGCCTGAGACAGGTGCCCACTTCCCCTCCTCCGGACTAGAATCTGGTTTACTTTGAGTTTGTGCAGCTCTTGTGTAAGCTGTCACAGTCAAGAGAGAGATCTTTTGAATTGATAGGTCGTCGTTTTTTAGTAAGCATAATTCCAGGTTCACAGAGAAATTAAAACAAGGTACAGTGATTTTCCATACTCCCCAGCCCTCCTCAATTTCTTCCCGTGCTAACACTTAGCAATAATGTGATACATTTCTTTTTGCTGTGAGCTGGTATTGACACGGGTCTGATGCCAAAGTTTACATAAGAGTTCACACCGGCACCAAAAGCTACAGAGAAACCCTGCCTCGAAAAACCAAAAAAAAAAAAAAAAGAGTTCACACCCTACATTGTACAGTTCTGAAGGACAAATGCATAATACTATGTATCCACCATCCGAACAGTTTTATCACACAGGAATCCCTATGTTCCACCTGTTTGCACTTCTTTATCTACCTCCCTCCAGTTCTGGCTACCACAGTCTAGTTAACATTCAGGCTTCCTTTTCCAGAATGACATGTAACTGATCTCTCACAGTGCACAGATTCTTTTACAACTTCTTATGTCTCAATGGTTCATTTCTTTTTATCATAGAATAATGTTTTAATGTTTAATACACCAGTTTATCCACTCACCTACTGAAAGACATCTTAGTTATTATGAATTAGTAATTATGAATACAATTTCTATGCACATTTATAAGCAGACTTTTATGCATGCTTATGTTTTGGGGTTCATCTGAGTAGCTGTCTAAGAGTGTTATTGCTGTATCGTTTGATAAACTTAATGCTAAGCTTTCTAGTAAACCGCTAAGCTTGTCCCCAAAGTGTCCCCTGTTTTCACCGGCCTTGATTCCCACCAGCCACGAGTGCCATGTTTTGGATTTGAGCCATTTTGATACGTGTGTATTTACATATCAGTGTAGTTTGAATTGGTGATTCCATCATGAAATTCAATGGCCCTGTCCTTTGTTGTATGCTTGCATCAGTATAAGTTTGTTGCTGAGGTGTCTGTTCATTTGATGAATTTAGATCTTGTTGAATTTTAAACATTTTTAGTATTTTTATTTATTATCCTATTTGTGATGGGAAGTGTCTTCTCCATTCTGATACTTGCCCTTTCCTTCTGTTTTAAAATACTACATTTCGCAGAGCAGCAGTTTTAAATTTTAGTAAAGAAGAATGGTGATTTTTTTTTTTTTTACTTTCATGGGTTATGCTTTCCTTTTTCTGTCTAAAATGTGGTCAGCAGACCCAGGGGTACAGAGATTCTCTGTTTTCTTTCAAAGGTTAGCGGTGTTGTATTTTACATTGGCATCTACTGTTGATATTGAGGCAGTGTCTATGAAAAGTGTACTATGTATGTCTGGTTTATTTTTTGTTGTTTTAGTGCCACTTCTAGAAAAAAGACTGTATAAAGTACATATCGCTTTTTTGTATTGCATATACTGTTTCTTTTCTTTAAGTGAATAGATTTTTAAGTCTCATCATACAGTGCTTCCCAAACCAAATTAGAACCCTGCAGGTGTAGTGACACAGTCCAGTATTAGGTCGGGCCTTTGTTCTGAATTAAGGGATAGCAGATTAAAGATATTAGATTTGTATTATTCAACAACATTAAAAGTTAAATAGAGTTATAATTTTATTATACATGTGTGTTAGTTACTTTTCTGTTGCTAAGATAAAATACCACGACCAAAAGCAACTTGTGGAAGGCAGAGTTTAACTTGGCTTACAGATCCAGAGAGAGTTTATCATGTAAAGAAGGCATGTCAGCAGGCAGCTAGAGCAGGAAGCTGGCTGATTCCATTTTGTCATACAGGAAGTCAAGGTCACAAATCGGAAGTGGGCCAAAGCTAGAAACTCAAAGCCCACTCTTAGTGATGCACGTCATCCAGCAAGCCTCCATGACCTAAAAGTTCCATAACCTCCATAAACTGCACCACCAACTGGGGACAAGGAATCGAGCACGTGATCTTATGGGGGAAATTTCTCATGTGAACCTCTCCAACAACATTCTGCGCAATGCTGATAACCTATTTCCCTGTGATGAGTTATTGTGTTTTGTGAGTGGTTACCCAATAACTTGTATGATAGGTTTTAAAATATAGTCTTTTCAAAGAATAATGGGTACTTCTGTGCAATCAAAGACATTGTAATGATAAGGAAAGAAATTTTTCCATCAGATGAAAGTCTCAACTTCCACATCAATCCCTCACTTCCAAGTTAGAAATAAGTTCTCAATGATGGGGCTAAACAGTGAATTATAATAGGCTGAGAAATTCTCATCCACTGGCCATGAAGGTACACTTTACTCCTAGGAGACAATGTCATGACTAGTTCACCTGAGGAATTAGACAGTCGGTTCAAACTTAAGGCCTCTGCCTTGCTAGTTTTATAACTATTATATGTGGAAGTTACAAGACTCCTATGATATTCAAATCTCTGGGACTTTGAATGAAGCAATAATGCTTATTCCCTATGATAAGTAATCTATAAAGGCACTTGTTGTAGTCCCTAGTTGGGTCTTTAAACCAGACTACATGGAACTTAGACCTTCAAAACCTCTTGATTCAATGTTAAAACCTGAGATACTGTCAGATTTAAGGGACCACTCAGACCTTTATCCACTACTAGACTTCCAGACACAGTCTCGAGTCAGAGCATCTATCCTTCATCAGTGCTGATCACAGGTGTGGCACTGTGCCTCTCCCCTCTTCCTGTGGCACTCAGTTGCACACCGGCTCCAACAGCACTTTGGATACGTAGACTCCCAGTCATGCCCAGTCTCCTGTGCCAATCATTCCTCAGCCTGCACAGTGACTCAAAGAAACAAAACTGCAAATAAACTTCAGTGGTTCAATGTCTCTAAATCACTAAAAGGAAACGAGAGCCACCAGAATCAGGTGTTAAAATGTGAAGTGTTTGAGGTTGGTGTAGCTCAGCTAGTAGAGTGCTTGTCCAACCGTTTCAAAGGTCTAGGTTTCAGCCCCAGCGCTGCCTGCGGTAGCACGTTCCTGTAATTCTAGCATTTGGGAGGATCAGTTCAATGCTGTGCTCAGCTATAGAGTGAGTGAGCGATCAGCCTATACTGCGTGAGGACCTATCTCCAAATAAATAGACAGGCTAATTAATTACCATAAAATATAATAGGCATACGAAAAGGAAACATACTTGAAAACACTTCTTATTTAGACTTTAGATGATATGTAATTTATGCTAAGAATAAACACCTGTGAAAAAACTAATTTATGCCACTTCACATATCATCCACCTGTTTCTGCTGCTTCTGTTATCAAACAGAAGCCGGTTTGTCTGTTCAGATTCAAAACAACACTTGATGTCCAGGAATGAGTGTGTGTTTTGTGTTTGAAAAATTCAAGAGTGGCTTAAGGAAAAATCCACGATTCTATCATTTATTGTAATGCCCAATTTTTATCTACCTGAACTTTTTCATGAAGAGATAGCATCTATGCTTTTAAGTGGTATGCAGAAGGCTCTGCAGTAAATAAATAAGCACCTGCAAGAGCATGCCCTAAATTTAACTGTTCTTGGTTTTGGAAGAATAAGCTAAGATGTCTGCTGTGGGACTAGAGGTTTTACTGAGTACTCGTTGGGAAACTTCAGAAGGCAACTCTAATTATACTGTAATTACCTATATTTGTATATAGTTGTATTATAACCAGCCACCCGACCACCCCTTCACTTTTGTAACCATGTGTCTCTCTACTGCCTCCCTACCCTCCTGCTTGTGTTTCCTCAATGAGTTTCTCAAGGATGATGCAAAGCCAAAATGCATGGTTTTAATAATTCATATACAATTCCACCATGGACATAGCCTATGCAGCAACAGTCAATAACTTTACATCTGAGAAAAATCATTCGAATCACTAAAATTTAAGAGCAGTGATTACAAAACCCCGTATTTTTCTTGTTTCAAATTCATTTTCTATCATTGCCTAAATATAAAACTCTGTTTATCGCACCTGTGAAATTAGTATATGTATATATATATATATATATTTCTTGTGTTTTAAATTATTATTTATTTATTATTTCAGACTTCTATTACTAGACATCAAAGAAATCTATTTCATCAGATAATTAATAAGCCGCTTCTGGGCACATTGCTTTTCTAGATGATTCCCTAGAAACTTATTTTGTAATTTTTGCAACCATTTCTCAGAAAGACTGATTGTAATAGAATGAAGCACCTGTATGCTATAGTTCTTTAAACATGTTTTAAGTCATCTGCACTTATTTATAGATAACACACACACATACTCACACACAAACACATGTACACACACAGTATTAAAGTGGAAATTGCAGGGAATCAAATCATACATTTTTTCCTTTTGAGTTTGCCTTATTTTCTGTGCATTGCATTTCCCAGCAAGCCTGTTAGATGCCAGGTTATTTTGGTAACAGTATTAGGTATGGCCATAGATCAACTTTTACATAGTAAGCTTCTTCTTTTTTTTAAACACCTTGAGCAAACACCACATCTTATCAGCTAACAAATGGTTGTGGCATACATATGAGAATTTGGGACCAGTGAATCACCCCTTACAGGAGAGCCAGGATGTGGGTGGAGTTGAGGTGGAGGGGAATGTTCATTTCCTGTCCTTGCCTGTGCAGACATCATATATCATTATATTGTTCTGTGTACTCCAGGACAGATCAGTTAGGTGATTATTGCACCACTCTGGTTACATTGAGCTACAAGAGATAAGAAGAATGTCTTCTCCGTGTCCTGCAGTGATACACTACAGTCTTTGCTAAGCCATGAAAGCTTTTAAGTT